GGCATGGGCATGGCATGAGGCACTAATGCCTGGCATAATGCCAATATGCCTGGCATGGGCATTTGCAGATCCCTAAACTAGACTTAAACCATGATGTTGAAAGATTGCAACGAACAATGACTGAAAATTGGAATAAAAAAAATAAGTTATTGGTGTAAATGCAAAAAAAAATAAAAAATCTTCGACTTACCGGTTGAAGTTGATAGAGGATACCGGACTACAAGTGGTGCAGTGTCAGTTGTACTCCCGGATAGGAAATTAAGGTTGGTTCCTAGTGGAAGTGGATTTATGCGGTTATTAAAGGTAAAAAATTCGACATCTTCTGGTTCAACATTCTTAAGAACTTTGAATCTTTCACAAAGAATAGGTTTAAGGCAGTCTAAGTTGAAACTATGGGTCATATAATTGTTCTGATTAATATCGACTTCTACAGCACTCGCCTTCCCTTCAAGAAGCACCCACATCGTTACTGAGCATATTGTCGACTCGTTTATATTGTCGTTGGTCATTTTCTGCGGCCACGGATAATATTAAAATTGGTTAGTAACTTACCAAAAACAACATGAGTAAATGATTACATATTTACTATGCTATATGTACGTATATGTTTTAAACTTGAAAGGAGAAAATAGTCTTTCGTTTTTACTTGAGGTATCTTTGCTGTACAGGAATTTAGGCGTGAAAATTTAGTGATTAAATAATCTTTGAACTAATCCAAAACTTTCTTTTGGGAGAAGAAAAATTCACCTGCTAAGTTGAACCTTATATATGAGTTAGTCCCGTACGGTGATACAAATTAGGTAAGCATGTGGAATTACGGAAGTACTCGCATGCAGAATTTATTCTCACATGTTAACGGATATCTCTGTACGTATTGTTATCATTATATAGAAAAACGGAAAATAAAAACTTTATTGCTTATACCTGAAGACAAATTCCGCTTAAACTATCGATATTAGATATTATTATTACCAAATCGCTAATTCTGATTTATTTAATTATTCGAGGACATAATAGATGAGTCAAAGATTCGAAGCTATTATGAAATAATGAAGCTTTCACTTCTTGCTTCTCTTTTAAAATTTTCACATTCACATCGCTTATATATTCCATCCGCTACTTTTTTGTATGTTTTACAATATAGATGTGAATGATGATTGCATTCGTCACAGACTTTACACCCGCGCTTCCAACCTCTGAAGATATGCCACTTTTTGATAAAATTGTGTCTTTTTTTATTTGTTAATGCGTTATCGCTATTTGGATTTTTCATTATTATATATTACAGAAAAAATAGCTTGACTAGTCAAGTTTCGAAGAAATATATACGTGGCTAAAAAATTTTTTATTATGTGTCTTATTGCGAAGCAATGACTCTTTGAGTCTAGACACTGGCTCTGCCATACAAACCTGTAATGTGTGGCAGTTATGTTTATGATCAATTTACAAACAAATTATACGTGCACCTTATAGAGGTTG